GATATTAATTGTTATCTATCTCCTCTCGGTCTCAAGATGAACAACTAACTCCCATAAGTTCCTAAGATTTTCGTTCTCTCGCAAGATTCTATCAACCTCTCGGTCTGTTTATCTCCTACGTTATAAATTTCCCAATTTTAACAATCAATTATCTCCTCTCGGTCTCAAATTGATCACAAATATGCATTCATAGTGGCCATCTACGCACGCAATAAAAATACGCAAAAGAAATTTATAAACGAAAGATAAACCGGAATGAAATAAATAAAAACTAAATCATAAATCAATCCGAGTACTAACAAATCCTAGAATCCGAAATAAATTATCCTAGAAACATGCTTTCAAAATAAATATAAAACATTGAGTTCGAAAGAAGAAAAGAAAAAGAAAGAAAAAGCTTATTCGGCTCCGTCGATCCCTTCTTCTCGGGCTTTCTCCCTCGTCTTGCTCGTGTTTCTAGCCTCCAAAGCTCTCCAAAGATCTGAAAATTAGGTTCTCCACCCCCCAAAAACGTGTCCAAGTATTATATATAGTTGGGGTCGAGTCCTAGTTGAAATAGGTCGAAAATACCAAAAAAAAGGAAAAACGCGTATTGGTCGCGCCCAGGGTCACACGACTCGTGTCACTTGACACACGAGTCGTGTGAAAAAGCCGAGAGCTGGATTTACGACACGACGGAACGACAGGAGTCGTGTCCAACTCCACACGACTCGTGTGAGTCTGGGAGCTCAAAACATCACGAAACTTCATTTCGGCCGCGGATTTCGTCTTCTGGAATGCTCTACATCACTCCAGTCATCTCCTGGTCGTCGTACATGGCGTCCAGGTGGTTCGCCGTCGGAGCTCCGATCAGCTTCCGCGGCCAGCATTTTCCCCGGCACAGACACGTGAATTTCCAGGCAGATTCTTCGGTTACAAAGACTGCGGTATGTCGGCTTCTATCCTTCTGGTCCTTCAGAGTTCCGGTCAGCATCTTGGCGGACGAACAACAAAGCTCCAGCGACATCTTTCATGGCGGACATGGCGTCTTCATGCGTGAAGGAGAAGGAGATGAACACTTAAGTATGGAAATGACCAATTTGCCCTTTATTTATGTCTTATTGGATTAAGCCTTCCTTTTCCATTTAATGGCTAGCTAATGGGCTGGCTCTGTAGCCCAAAAAGAACAAAAAATGGACTGATTCAATGATAATACATTGGCCCACTTAATGGCGCTGCCATTAATCTCCAGCGGGTCTTGCTCTTTATATTCAATTCACACCGTTTTCAACTCCGAAATAATATTTCCAGTCAAAACTCGAATAAAACACCTCATCATAGCTTAATAAAATTAATTAAATATATAATTAATAATATAATAATTAATTAAATAATAATTAATATATATCAAACTACGACAAAACGGACACATAAATCACTATAAAATGCACGTAAATATGACGCATGTCAAACAACCCGACTTCTTGCTAGTCTTTTTAAAAGAAAAGGTGACCCAAATCTCTTCAGGGGTCGGGTCTGACCATCCTTCCCGACGGAACATGACCACGAGGCTAATTATTTTAGCCCAAGTGTTTGGTGTAATATGACTGAACAGTAGTGCTATGGGACATCCCCATGTGGAGATGTTTGATTGGTGGTTGGCTCCATAAGGGAGCCAACCATTGGCTCCATAGCACTACTGTTCAGTCATATTACACCAAACACTTGATCAAGTACCCTAAAATCATTGTTTATCATGTGTTCAATAATGCTCGCATGATTCATGTCAGCACCTCTGAGGTATTCACAAATATGTCTAAGAACTCCCTGATTAAGTTGATGAGCTCACCCCTCAATGGGTCTACCAAATTTCCTCTGATCCTAAACTTTCTCTCATTATTCCCCTCAATTATCTGGATCTCGACCAAATCTTCTCTGGGTTGCATCTCAGCTTTCTGTTTTTCTTTCTCATTCTTTGACCTAACCTCTTACTTTTTTCGATTTGATTGCTTTCTCAGCTCTTTTGTTATCTTTCTTCCTATAACTTTTCCTTCCAAACTTCACCATGACATGATAACAGGACCTCGAGCTAGTTTCCTTCGACCTCACCAACTAATTCTCCCATCGGGTACTTAATCTTCATGTGGTGGGGCGATACCATAGTCTGAAAAGCATTTAGACTCGACCTCCCAAATAATGTTGTACACGATTTAACCCCAACGACCAGAAATCTCACCATCTTCACCTTTCTACTCGACCTGTCCCCAGGGTGACTGACAGAGTAATCTCTCCTATGGGACGACCTTCCCTCCGCTGAAACCAAATAGAGATGTATTTACTTCATTCAATTCTCCTCCAGGTTCATCTGTTTAAAACAATCATAGAACATCACGTCCACTGAGGTAAATGTGTCAATAAATGTTATTTGCAAGTCATAACCGGTAAACTCCGAGCCAAAATCACCAAAGTATCATTGTGTGGCACGTGAAGACCTGTGACATCGTCAACCTTAAATCTTATCATCAACTCTCGAGCAGTAAAGTTGATCTCCTCTCTCTCTCTCTCACTTAGTAGCTCGATCATGCTCATTTCGTAAATTTTTCGAATCTCCATCCGCCGGGGCCCCAAAAATCATGTTAACACCTCTCTTAGGTAGGGACTTGATATATCCACGGCTAGTACTGCCGGCTCGAACGGTAGTATCTGATATAGCATGTCGTACCCGAACGGTTTTTATGGATATATATTGAAGAATACGCCTATAATGGGCTAAGACACTTGGACTATAAGGTACACACCCCCTATAAAAAGGGGAAGAAGGTACTCATTTCCTCATTTTTCTCCTCATTCCATTACTACACTCTTTCTCAACACTCTCTCCTTACTTTCTCTCTCTCTCTCTCTCTATGCATTCTCATATGAATTCAGTACTGACTTAAGCATCGGAGGCCCAAAGCCGGGCACCCTTCTCGGGATCCGGACTTTGGGTTCTTGCAGGTACGGTGGTCGTCCGAGTCGAGGGAGCCCAGGTGACATCTTTGTCCTATCAGGCCTCATCTTCATCGACTCTATGTCCTCTCGATCCCTATGCCTCTTACCTCGACCACTATCCTTTCTTATTTGATATTTTCGCTCTCTGTCCTTATAGATAAATTCCTTGAGGTGACCGGTTTGGTCAAACTCTCAATTTCATCCTTTATTTGACAACAAGTGTTGATGATGTGGTCTAGTCTCTGTAAAATCTGCAATACATGTCGAACATTGGCCTAGTTGGGCCTTCCCTCCTCGACTTCGGTCACTTCACCATTTTTCCTTCGACCTTCCTCTCCATGGCCTCGAGTACTTCTGCCCGATGCGACCTCAAAGATGTGTACTTTTTGTACCAGCGTCCATCTCGAACAGGTCGACCCTTCCATCAGTCCTCACGCCCCCTTTCAAACATCTCATTCTTCAGTGAGCTTGGCCCCCTCTTCTTTGTCTCTTATCCCAGGATTTTCTGCTTCGGCAATCCTCCAGCCTTTCTTCAGATGCGGGTTCTGGCAACAATTTTTTCGATCGGGGGGTTTGGGGTGGAGGGTTTCTACTCTTTCCACCATGGTCTTCTACGATCCTAGTGCTAGGCAGAAGAGATGACCAACGTCGTGGGGCGAGTCCTGGTATTCTGTTGTCGGGGTCTGGTCGGTGGTGTCGATCTAGATGGTTGGGGGGGAGAAGGTATCTGGGTGTGGGTTGTGATGTTCGTTTGGATTGGGGTTGGGTCCATTGCTGTCGGACTCAGTTAGGCATTTTTTTGCAGTTTCTGGGTGGGGTTTCTAGGTTGTGACTTTGTTCATGTGGATGGATATTTTGTAGTGTTGTCGGCGTTTCGCTTGGCGTGGATTCCTGTTGCGGGAAGGGTTGTTGTAGATGGAGTTCTAAGTTTTTGTGGATTCCTGTTGCGGGAATGGTTGTTGTAGATGTAGTTCTATGTTTTTGTGTTTAGGTTGTGTTTTTACTCTCTCGCGTCGGGAGTACGTTTGGTGTATTATCCACTTTTGAGAGCTTTTATTAGTCTCGTTTTGAGAGTTCTTGGTGTTTTGTGTTATTTTGAGGTTGGTTTTAGGCTGCCGTTTGTCTGTGTTCTCCCAACTAGATTCAACGATTTTAGCTGTCTTATTCGACTGTGTGGCTAATTAATCAGTTGAATGGTTGCTCTCTAGTCTTATTTGTTTTGTGAATATATGTGATTCTTACTTCAAAAAATTAAAAATAAAAAACAACTCAACAAATTTTCAATCCATGCATACAGATTTTATCCCTTCCGGTCTCTAGTAAAACTAGGGGCACCCTTTGCTTATAATGATTACAAAGAATGATTCAACATATACAGTGACCAAACATTGTTTACATAAAAGAATAATATTATTATTAATCACGTTACAACAAATAATCCTAACCTTTCCAAATTCCATATTCTCAGAGGAGCCGAGACAGGGGAAAAAAATATCTGAAAAAAAGAATGAACCAAAAAACATATATATATGTCTTGCAATTAAGCAAAAAAGAATAAAAAGATTTTTTTGAGTTAAATTCCCCCTTCTAAAATCCTTGAACTCCTTTCATGTTCCAGCTCAGTTAGCTGTAGGAATAGGGGTCCTCGGGCTCGGCAGGCCCAAATGCGCGACTCTAGGAGAGAGCCTAATCTTCGGGCTGGGCCGAGGAGATGGGATCGGGCCGTAGTTGCGAAAAGACACTTTGGGCGAGAGCTTGACATGCTCGAGGGCCCGGAACTGGAGCTCGGCCGGGTACTCACGCACACACCCGATACGCGGACCTAGCCCAGTGCTCCACTTGCGGGACATGCGCCTGGCCAAGGTGTAAACGGGCTTATTCTCCTCATGGCAAGTGGTTTCTGGCTTCCCGGCCGGCCCATTTTCGTTAGACGTGCTGCTAATGGTTTCTAATTGTTTGAGATTCGAACTAGATGCTTCTGTTGGAATCGAGGCCTTTTCGGCTTGAGGAGGACGATCTTCATCCGTTGCACATTTCTGAAAAAAAAAAAACGAAGAAAGTTTCGTGAGATTATGGCTTTCTATCACTACGAGATTCATGAATTCCTTATTTTGTTGATTTTTTGGTAATTAATCTAAAAGGCTGATTACCTTTACATTTGTGAGATCAACACAATGCTCCTCTAGGAAGCTTATGAATTCGTTGAAGTTCTCTTCGGTCGGGAGATAGTGACCGCTGTATGGCCAAATAGCCTGTTTAAAATCGAGAAAAATGTTCTCAAAATCTTTTAGACATAAGTTATAATCTAATCATCAGTTTGTGTTTTTGTGTGTTTGGAAGTAAAATTTTACATCAAGAACTCCAGCATGAGCAACCAATCTTCCAGCAGCCGTTATTGCTCCGCCAGCTAGGAAGCTCGAGTGCTGGAACTGACCCTTTTGCTTCTGCCCGATGTACAAATTCCTCATCGTGCTAAGAACAAATATCCATTTCGAGCCCTCGAGCGTGTCCACCAATGCACCACTTTGCATGTAGACGAGCTTCCCGTCTTCAATCGTGACTTCATACGCTTCTCTCTCTTTCTGTTACAACACAAAAAACGGAAATATACTTCAACAAATGCTCGTCGATAATTTTTGTTTTTTATTAAATATTGAAACCAATTTTTTTTGGGTTGATAGACTTACGGGTCCAAGATATTTGATGCATTGCCGTTGTAGATTTGTCCTCGGGCACTTCTCAATGTTTACTTCCTTCCCATCTCCAACATCCAACCTTTCAAAACGCACAACAGATAACAGAATTAGATAAGGGCATTCTCGAGTAAATACAAAGTTTTTTATTATCGAATGAAGTAAATAAACTTGATGTCGAAAGCGAGTACTTGTGTAACGCACCAGTAAAAGAAGGGCTGTTCGCTTTCGCTCTTGAACCACACATTATAATAGAGATGCAAATTGTGCCCATACCGATGACGCGGATCGATCTACAGTAAAATTGAGCGAAAAAACAGTCGAGTAAGATCAAAGACAGTTAAACAAAACAATCCATGTTCCCAAAATAAGAGGCACTAGAGGCAAAAACTAGCCAATACAAATATATGAAATAACCGAAAGCCCGATTGTGGGTAGGATTCAAACCCGAAACAAACAATGTACGATTTTATCAAGTGAAAAAGCTATGTGCAACTGCGCTTACAGCTTCGAGCCAGTGCCGTAAGGCTAGCTTTTGAGCCTTCTCATCCTTGGACAATCCCTTTCCAACCTGCAAAAGATTCGACTTTTTAGTCGAAAACCCGAAAATTCACAAATATTGTACAAGAAATGAATCAACAAAAAAACCTTGGCAGCTCTCGTCCGTGCCCTCGCCCACTTGGAAACAGCCGTCTCATGCTTGTCTTCTTCGAAAAACGAGACCGAACTCCTCCTAAGGGCCGCGAAATCCAAGGCCTTCCACCTGCCACACAAACCCGAAACATAACCGGATCAACACTACTAATTCACCCCATTAACACTAATAAACATCACGGGACGAGGAAAAACAAAAACCCCACCACAGCTCCTCGACCACAACTGCACAATCAGCAAGGTTCCTTCGGGTCCGGTAACTTTTGTAGACCTTCTGCAGCTTGAGAGCGGCTGCATCGAGTTCGCTCACGGGCTTCGGAGAAAACATCACGGCCGGCTCGGGAAAGGCACGATGATCCTCACACCCGGTCGTCGACCCATCGTGGTACGATTTCGTGATGCCCTCGATTAAGCTGTTGAACGAAAGGGAGCTCTCGAGCATGACGCTCGTGGACTCGCACGAGTCGCCTAGCTTTAGTGTGTTGAGATTGTAGCCCTTGGGGAGGATGATGGCTGTGGGATCAGCCTCACTAAAGCTGTTGGTCCTAATTGTCATTGATTCTTAGTTCTTCTTTTCAAATTTCTGTATATTAAATTGGGGGAAAAAACAGAGAAGAACACACTGTGTTTTTGCAGATTCTTGGCAAGCTGACAAAAAAAAAATCAAGCCCCACCTGCCATTAAATTGTATCAATTTCATATACAAAAGAGTAAAATTTCTGTAAAAGGGCCAAATTAAAAAGATAAAAAAAAAAAACAAGGAAAACAAACAACACTACAACTGAAGTAGACAGATTATCATCATCAAATTCAAGAAAATGAGTGCATAGAAGACCCATCAATTCAAAACTGTGAAAAAGTTAGAAAAAATTAAATCTTGAATCTAAAACTGAGACAGAAAAACTCACCTGAACTGAAATGGAGAGGCTTAAATTGCAGGGAACGAGAAATTGAAGGGTTATATATATATAAGAATATTGAAGGGTTTTGTCTGTTCTTTTTACTCAAGGACAGTGAAATTAATAATGTGAAAAATCAATGCAAGAATGTTTTGGAGTCAAACAGCTCGTGCACAAGACGTCTAATTTTTTGGTCAGAGGTCGTAAAAAATTTAGATCTACGACTTTTGACCGAAAAAATGGACGTTTTATCGTCGAAATTTTTTCGTGAAACACGGATATGTTGTCGGCACGGAAGAGAGCCACAAGATCATATAAAAATTTTCAATATCCGGTGAAGTTGACGGCGACGGATGGTGGTTGGCGGCGGCGGTCCGGCGGACGAGACAAAATTGCAATACTTAATAAAAGTTAAGTATTTTTTTGTCAAATTAAAAAAGGTTAAGTTTTATTTGCAATTAAACAAAAGGTGGTGGTTTTTTATGCAATTAACCATTTTTTTTAAAAAATGCAACGTAGCTTTTTTTTTTTTGGTAGAGGGACCTTCCGATTTTCGGATCCACAGGGGAACCGACTAATTCGGAATCGAGCCGGGTAGGACCACAAGGGCGGCAAAGCTCTCCCTCAAGAGTTTTAACACTGCTGCATTCCCAGGACTCGAACACGAGACCACTGGTTAAGCTGGAAGAGACCCAAGCCATCTCATCCAAACGCTCTTGGGTAATGCAACGTAGCTTTATATATATATTTAACTTTTTTTTTTTCTCAAAAGTTACGCGAAATGCTGAAATAACATGTTTCTTTATGCTATCTTGTGTTATATTTCTGCAACGACATTTATAAAATATTCACAAATCTTATATTTTTTTACGGATTAGAGTTATATTTTTGAATGACAACCAAAAACAAAAAACTTTTGATAATGATTTCAAATTAAAAGTTTGAAAATGCAAAGCCCTAAATTGAATAGTGCTATATATACCGGTCCAGGTGCATTATATCATTGACATTTATATTTATGAATAAAAAGT